AGTAAATTTGTAGATCTTTATATTTTCTTCTTTAACCCCAAGTATCTTGGGATTCCACCAAGCCAATTTTGATGATTCAACTACCATTAGAATCAGAAGAACCTCCTCTACAACTTTTCTTAAGGCTAGAAGAACCCTTTACTTAGTAAAACCTTCTTTAATTTTAAAAGATTATTTCAACCAATTATATTATTCATATTATTGCATAGGTTGAGTTACTTAAAGAATATAGTAAAGAATTGATCAACTTTAGTGGAAGATTTTCAGCCCTCTACTTATAAATTAAAGGCTAAAATTTTAAACAAGAGAGTATTAAATACTAAAGAATATATATGTAAAGTTTAAAGAAAGGTTTATATATAAATTTTGAAATAAATTTAATTTAAATGATTTTTTTACATAAATTTATATATAAAATTTAGTAAATCAACTTATTTAATTTATAAGTAACAACATTTGGAACCCTTGTAAAAGGACATGTCCTATGACTGATATATTATAAATTAAAATTTTTAAAGATATTATATTTAAAAAAGTGCGTTATTTTATGGCAATCCTGTGATCGACCAATTATGATTGATCACATGATCGCGCGATTTTATTTATTAAAATTTTTTTTAAGTACTGCATTTTTAATAACAAAAAAAAAAAAAAAAAAAAAAAAAAACTAAAATGGACATCTTATAAAAGTCATTATACAATTAAAAAACAAAAAATTCGGTAGCACAAAATGACCAAAAATCCACCCAAATTTCTTGCAAAAAAATTCCAAAACACACGATAACTCCAACTTCGACTCCAACAGCGATTTCGACAACGACTCTAATAGCGATTTCTACAACGACTTCAACAGTGATTTCTACAACTCCAACAGCGATTTCTACAACGACTCCAACAGCAATTTCTACAACGACTCCAACAGCGATTTCTACAACGACTCTAACGGCGATTTCTACGACTCCAACAGCGATTTCTATGACTCTAACGGCGATTTCTATAATGACTCCAACGGCGATTTCTACAATGACTCCAACAACGAGAACTTTAGTAAGAATAAATTACAAAAATAAATAAATAAATAAAAGAAAAGAAAAGACAAAAAAAAAAGACGAAAATAGAAGATAAAAAGAGGAAATTGAAAAATAAAGGGAAGAACAAAAGAAAAAGAATGAATGAAAGAAAAAAGAAGAACAAAAGAAGAAAGAAAGAAAAAAGAAATAACAAAAAGAAAAAATGAGAACCCAAAAAAAAAGAAAGAACAAAAGAAAAAGGAAAATCAAAAGAAAACATGAAAAACAAAGAATAGAGAAAAAACAAAGAAAAGGGGATAACGAAAGAAAAGGAAAGAATGAAAGAAAGATGATAGAGCAAAAGAAAAGAGGAGGAACGAAAGAAAAAGAGAATAACGAAAGAAAAGGAAAAAAATGAAGACAAATGAAAGAACGAAAGAGAGGAGGAACAAGAGAAAAAGAGAATAACGAAAGAAAAGATAATAACGAAAGAAAAGGTAATAATGAAAGAAAAGAGAATAACGAAGAAAAAGAAAATAACGAAAGAAAAAGGAAATAATGAAAAAAAGAGAAGAATAAAAGAAAAGAGAAATAACGAAAGAAAAGAGAAAATGAAAGAAAAGAGTGAGGAGCGAAAGAAAAAAAGAATAACAAAAGAAAAGAGAACGAAAGAAAAAGGAAAGAATGAAAGAAAAGAGAATAACGAAAGAAAAAGTGAATAA